AGAGAGAGAGAGAGAGAGAGAGAGAGAGAGAGCGAGCATGTGTATGTGTTCCAGGCTGGAAAATTTGATACTCTTGGTCTTTAAGCTTCTTTTTCTTTTGTGTGTGTGTGTGTGTGTGTGTGTGTGTGTGTGCGCGCGCGCGTGTGTGTGTGTGTGTGTGTGTGTGTGTGTGTGTGTGTGAGAGAGAGAGAGAGCATGTGCATGTGTCTGTGTGTGTTCAAGGCCGGATTTTTTTTTACGCAGGGCTTTAGAGTAAACCGGTGAAACGTGACATAACGTCTGGCATTAGATCTGACATCAGATTCGGAAAACCATTTAAACTTTTTTTTTTTTGAGATCAAATCTGCCACGTCAGATTCTGACATCATGAACGCCGACGTGTAATTTGACTATGTGTCAGATGATAAGAGAGATGCAGACTCCGAGAGCAAAGATCGAGGACAACTTCTTCAGCTCGCCGGTTGCGGCGGGTTCGATGGAGCCGTCGGAGTCAGTGGGGCCGTCCGACTCTCATCGGGGTCGGAAGAGGAGAGGTGGTGGTCCCAAGGGCGATCAGGATCGCGATGTAGCTGCTTCCCTGCACGAGAATCATGAGATTTCGCAAGCTTCTGAAGGTGAGTCAGCAGATGAGGACCAAGCGGATGCCAAGGGGGCTTCAAAGAAAAAAACTCGACAACGAAGAGAAGGCCCGAAGTCCCAAGGTCGATCTCATCCGAGAGGAAAGATGGAGGGCGATTTCTTCAGTTCGCCGATTGCGGCGGGTTCGACGGAGCAGTTGGAGATAGGAGAGCCGTCCGATGATCCTGGGGGGGATGGGAAGAGGAGAGGTCGCGATCGCAATGGCGATGTAGCTGCTTCTGCGAACGAGATTTCGCGAGCTTCTCAATCTGAGTCAGAAGACAAGGACGGTCGCGACCGCGGTCGGGATCGTGAAGTGGATGACAAGAAGGGGGGGCCTTCCAGGAAAAGACCCGGTCCGGGAGAAGGCTCAAAGTCCCGAGGTCGATCTCGGCGTCGGGAACCAAAAGAACCGTCTGGGACAGTGCCAGAGACAGGCCCTGGGACAGGTTCGGGACGTGGTGGTCCGCTTAAACGAGACATGGAACGTGCTGAACGCGAGGAATTAGAGAAGATAATGTCAGAGAGCAGAGAGGAAGGAGAGAATACAGATGGGATTGCGCGGGCAGTGATTGCCGCTGAGCGGGAAGTCAGGGGTTTGTTGCAGAAGCTTCGGGAAAGCCATGTGTCTTCTCAGGACATCAAGAAGATGCTGGAGGTCAACGGCTACGATCCACGTCTGATGACTGAAGACCTGATGTGGAAAATATGGTACGACTTCCGACTATGAACTTCTGTCTTCCTCTCTCTCCTTCTGTACCGAAGTAGATGGCCTCTTCTTTTCAGGAAGAAGAAGAATGCAGCAGCCGCAGCAGAACCAGAAGGAGAAGGAGAAGGAGAAGAAGGAGAAGAATTGAAGAAGAAGAAGGAGAATTGAAGTGAATTGAAACAATTAACATAACGTAGTGAGGCCAATCGCTTCGAGTCCACGCTCAGTATCATGGACAACACAGTGCCGCATGGAGACAGACATAGCTCACAAATGCACACTGAAGAAGAAGAAGATGACGAAGAAGAAGAAGCAGCAACAACAACAACTACAACAGAAGAAGAAGAAGAAACGGCAACAGCAACAACTACACCAACAGAAGAAGAAGAAGAAGAAGAAGAAGAAGAAGAACTGCAAGAACAACAATAGAAGGCAAAATTTAATGTGAAATGAGCGAGCTCAAGGCAAAAGAAAGAAGAAAGAACTAGTAGGTGGTCGTACCGTGGTACACACACCACAAACGCTTGATTGAGTCTTCCATCGAACCCAACGCACACAGAAGGCTACCGTATCGGATTCCATGTCAGGCAAATCCGGGGGGGGGGGGGGGGGGAGGAATTCAAAACTTATAAAAAGTCATTATGAAAACAGGCTGGTAATTGCCGGGCCAGATTGGGGCCATTTATTGAGAATTAACTGCAAAACTCACGAGGCACGTGGCAATCATCAAACCAGGTCCTTCAGTATGGTTCCAGGTGCTGCATGATTGCCAGTTTCTATGCAATCAGACTCGCTTTCTTTTCCTCTTACACGCAATGTCATCCAAACAGATGGCAATTCACACTGGCGCTTCGCGCCCACTCAAAGCTCAGAGATACGGAAACGAGAACACAGTTCAGATGCAAAATCGCTCCAACAAACGATGGCGCTTCAGCGCCCGCACCCTCAACTCTCGTCACTGGGTCCAACACCACCCTTCGCACATACTCAACTCTGGATCACCCTGAATACCACCACACATACATACCAAACCTATATTCTTCCTTTTTTCAGGGATCACCCTGAATACCACCATACACACATACCAAACCTATCTTCTTCCTGTCGCGGCTATGGCCGCTCTACCACTACCGGCTATGGCTACGATCTCGCTCTTCAGCCCACTTCGTCTTCGGGAAACCTGCAGACCACCTTCGCACAAGACGCTGTAGCAGCGCGTCCGCATTGCTTACGCAGTGAATGAATCAATGGCTGGGCACTGCCTCTTGATTTATACTTCTGTGAGTCGTTGGTCTGCCCCTTTTCCACCGGGCCCATGATGTACACAGTCCCTCATGGTACTTGCTGACTGTGCAAAGTGAGACTGGGACTGGGTACCGCTGACTAAGCGAAGTTGGACTCCACCACTTGCCCACTTGCCTCTGACTGAACGTAAGAAACTCTCGAAAGGCCACTTCCGGACCTTCCGGAAGTCTGTGGACTTGGCCTTTCGGGACTGTAGCAGTTACGACCTTGGCCTTTCGGGACCGTAGCAGCTACGACCTTGACCTTTCAGAAACACTACAGCCACGACCTCTAGACAACCATGACCCTTACTGGACAGACGTGTAGATCGAACCCCTACAACTATGCAGACCTACGACAAACAACAGCCAACTACCGAAACACAGGTCGCGGGTTCAAACACTCAGGGGTCAGCCTGATACTGTGCATGGGTAGGGTAAGGTCTGGGGATCGAACTCTAGGGCCCACATCTGTGACTGCAAAAAGGTGAAAACTGTCTCACTCTACCACCATCGTCCCCCAAACACAACTTGCCTTCACGCTGAATGTGAGCTCTCTTTTCGGCCCAATTCAGTCATGATGAGGGTACGTCTCACGAGACACGTGGAAATCATCAAGCCAGGTCCTTCACAATGATTCCAGGTACTGCATGATTGCCAGTCTCTACTACCGTCTTCCCCCGAAGACAAAGCAGCCTCACTATGAATGTGAGCTATCTTTTCGGCCAAATTCAGTCGTGATGAGGGTACCTTGTGTTGGGGGATATAGGCGTAGTCAGTTTACCACCCCTTTGTCTGGTCCACTTAGGGCCTCACATGCAGGTAATTTGCATAACCCAGTGGTTGGGTAGAAGATCACTTTGAGTGGGGCCCAGTTGTCTGTATACCAACACTTTGTCTGGTCCACGTGGACAGGAAACGTTGGTAATTTGCACACCCAGGTAAATGGCCACAACAGCAATTTGGGCAGGCCCAGCTTGTCCGGTCCACTCGGAGCTGGACATATTGGTAATTTGCGCACATTGGTAGCTGGTCATGGATGGGGTCCAGTTGTCCGTATACCGACACTTTTGCCCGGTTTACTTGGGGCTGGACATTTTGGTAATTAGCGTTGACCACGACAGCAATTTGGTCGGGGCCCAGTTGTCCCTGCACTAGCACTTTATCTGGTACAGTCGGGCCTAGGCATCTTGGTAATTTGCATACCTGGGTAGTTGGGTACAAAAGCAATTGGCCAGGGCCCAGGGTTCCACGACAACATGGGCGTTTTTCCCCCAGGTACAACGATCTAGTTCCCGTCATTTCCGCCCCCCCCCCCCCCCCCCCCCCCCCGGCCCGAAAAAAAAAAAGAAAAAAAAAAGCAGGCTCCCATCTTGAAGTAGGGTACAATGACAATTTCCTCAGTGGTTAAAGAGAAATCAAATGGGTACAATCATCCTACAATGACAATTTTCTCAATGGATAAAGAGAGAGAGAAAATGCAAAAAGAAAAGGGAAAATTGCATCTGTACCCCAGTTGTGGCGGTGAAACTCCGACACAACTGGCCGTTAAACTGTAGTTAGAGAGGGAGAAAGAGGATAACAAACGAGGGGCTGTGACAGACTGTGACAGACTGTTTCCTAGGAGTTTCACCGGCTCGTCATGAGGCTGAATCCTGCCCCGTGAAGCGTAGGCAGAGAGGGAGGGAGAAGAGGACAACAAACGAGGGGCTGTGACAGACGGTTCCATCGAAGTTTTTCACTGATTTCATCAGGGGGCTGACTGGGAAATTCTGCTAACGCGCTCAATCGAGACCAGAGTAGACTCGAGGCTCGAGGTAGGTTAGCCAAGTTATATATGCATAATATATAGATTGTATAGAAACAGGCTTCTCTAATAACTTAGTGATAAGCCTCAAAACAGTTATGCAAGGAAAATAAGCAACAGCAAGATGACAATCCCAGATCACACCATCACATTGCAAGTCAAATAGTCACACCGTGTCCAGATAGCAGCATTGCACCAATAATACACCAATGGAGTTTCGTAGCACTGAAAACCAATGTTTATGGAGAGCACACTCTCTCCTCTTCAACACAAGTATCCAGTTCCCTTACACTCACACTTGGCGCTCAGCGCCCAGCCTACGTCTACACAGCTACTACAGACTACAAAACGACAATGCAACTGTTGACATCAGCAGCAGCCCAAAGTACTTGAAGATGCCGCCCATGCAGACCATCGCCAATACAAGGTACGTGCCCTCACATCATCATCATCATCATCATCATCATCCTTCACCTATCCCCTGACTTCACCCACACCTGTCCTCTCTGACACACGAAAAACCACCCCTGCGCCTCACTCTGTCCAAGCCAAGCCCGCTATGGAGGCTGGCTATGGCGCTGCCCTCAGCAGCGCCCTGTTCCCCTACACGACCGCACGTGTGTTGCCCCTTGCTCCTCTGCCGGCAGTCAGCCTGCAAGCTTTTGCTCCAGCAGCGCTGCCGCCCAGCCAGCAAGTGACCGAATGAGCTGCCTGGCCAGAGCTCTTTCCTTTATGGAAAAGAGCTGGCCAGCTCTCGCAGCCTGGCTGGGCTGGCCTGGGCCCAGCAGCTTCCGGAAGGCCCCAGGATGCTGTCTGGATGCAGCAGCTACTGGGCTGCTGGGCCTCGTTCGGTTGGGCGCCCAACTGTCTCTGTATGAGGCTGCGAATCACGCCCAGGGCCTGCATTCTTTGGAAAGGCCTGGTAGGCCGTGGAAATGTCTTTGGTACTCGGCCTGTGTTTCTTTCAACCAACTGGCGCGTCGCAACTGCCTGGACCCCAAATATGAAATTGACAGTCGAGGGCCTCTTGCAAAAAGCCAGGCCCGCCTTCACTTAGGGCGGGCAAGGCTGCAGACAGGGCCCCGTAGGCCTAC